TCCCGAATCATCAACTCCTTCTCCGTCCGTAATACCACCGGCCAGCCCGACAAGCTCTACTTTTCCGAGCCCAACTCCTGCAAGCACTTCAACTACCTCCCAAGCGCCTGAATCCACTCCCTCTGGTACGTCCTCCACGAGACATGAGACTGTCTCCGAATCTTCTTCCTCCAGTGTATCTCCAGTGTCCTCTTCCAGTATGTTGCCAAAAGATGACCTCTCCTCTTTCTCTTCCTCTTTCTCTTCCTCTTTCTCTTCCATCAGTTCGTCCATAGCACCGTCCACCGCGCCGTCCAGCAGGTTTACCGGTCCTTCTTCGAGTGGGTTATGCTACCAGCACTGTCCTTTAGTCCCCAAATTGATCCATCAGGCCAAATATACGAACCTCCCATTCCACTAATCACACCTCACATTTGTATATGAGTCACCAAAAATTGTATGAATAGCTCCAGTGTCTAACTGTTAGTGCCTCCAGCTCCAGGGGAGACTCCCAAGTCTTCAGTGCCTGCTGTATCTACGGGTGGGTGTCCACGCATATGGCCCATGATTTTTTTTATTCATCCACAAATCACCACATCTTTCAACGCTCGCAGACCAGGATACCTACTTTTTGATTTGATTCACTTGCATTGACTTGCTGCAAAGTCGCTGACCGTTTGATTAGAAGCATCATCTTCTGGCGAAGCTGCCCCTACTTCGAGCAAGATCGAGAAGACTATCACGACCGGCCGTGTCGCCACAACCAGCCCCGTACGACATACCTATACCACTACGTTACCCGACGGTGGTACTCGCACCGTAACATCCACTTCTTGGGTGGCCATTGTGCCCACGGATAAGTCTACTGCCGACGGCGGGCCCCAGTTGCAGAATCATGCGCCAAAAGCTCAAGGTCATTTCACGCTCATTATTGCTGCTGGGGCGTTCGCAGTTGGCATGTTACTGATTTAACATTATTTCCACATCTGTTTACTGATGGTATTTTGAATTATGCGAATCGTTGATTAAGCATGGCGATATGCATTGCGTCGGTGGATTAGGTCTGATGATTTAACGACTCTCCTTAATTGTTTGGTTTGGAAAAAATTAGACCATAGGCATGCGACTGCCTCGTACTGTAGATTGCAAAAAGCGGAGTAGAATGGCCAATGAGATGAATTTCAAGGATGCGACTGATTGTGACAACTAATGGCACAAGGCATAGATGGGACATGGTGTCGTGAATATACAGACTATTAGAAAAAAGGGCATCTTTTGGATTCCTCTCACATGGACACATAAACACCATAATTATTCAATATTGTGTTGATTATGACAGTTCTAATTGTAGTTATATGCAAAGCGCCGCAACTCCATGCCCATTTTCGTATCCCGTTCCTTTCCCAAATCACCCACCAACCACGTCCTTAACCGGGTCCTATCTTTGGCATATCGTGATGTTCACTAAGTTTCGACAGGTATGTGTTGAGTTCCTCGACTCGTTCCTTGTGCGTTTTCAGTAATTCCGGTCGAGAACTCGACGACTCAGCCATTTTCTGCAGCTGTACCCAAGTTAGCGACTGCCCTTGTCGATGTTTGGCCGTTATGCACATACTCTCTTCTTTCTGACCTCGTCGTATTTCCTCTCGGATTCCGTCTTTCGTGCAACTGCGCCATCGTCGTCGCTCTGATCGCCCTTGCTGTCACGGGGATCCGGTTGCTCGTCGGCCGCGGGAGCACCGTCGCTCTTCGCTAATGCGCCCTCGCCCGCGGACAAATTCCTCTCCAAATCGCTCTTGTCCTTCTTCTTCTTCTTTTTCTGGACCTTGGCGCCCTTGAGCTTGAGGGCGCCTCCCCCAACAGCGGTGTAGTCGCCAGACGGCATGGTGATGTGGTTGCAGTGTAGCACGGCCGCCCGCAGATGTCTTAGGCTGAGATCCTTGGATGGAGGAACGACCTACTTGATGCTTAGTCACCAGACAGAGACGGGAGCCAAGGCCCTTCAATGCCGGAACTCCATCTTGGCGGCAGCCAATGAAAGCATCATTTCTCCATCTCTCAATGCATTTGCTCGAGCCGCTACTAGCTTCTGTGGGCTTTTCTGTCTCCTATTGACGGAAACCAAAGCGCCTCCCCCTACACTTTTTGCTATTCACGATAAACGCATTAGACGAAGAGCATCCGTACGGTTTCATTTTTACTTTGGATCCCGCCGTTGTCACGCGAGCATTTGGACGAAACATCGCTTGCATCGCTCCTACCACTTTCGCACATCCCTGCAGCGTCACAGGCCCAAAAGGCCCTGTTGTTGTTGGTCCATCGCCATCCTACGTTTTTGGTTGACGAATGTGCCTTTTGCTTGCACTGTGCGCGTTCTGAATATGAGCTATTTCTGCTAGCCTTTTTATATTTCTCGAATACAGTATCGCGTTTTGTTGCCGACGATCGAACGTACAGATTAGAAGCTCTCTAGGCCGGGGCTGGTTTCTTCAGGGAGCTCGCGATGTCCCCTTATGCGGTGCAATCGCAGTCGCGAGACTCCTTAGAACTTGCGTCTCTGGCGAGCTCGAGCATGATAGATGGTGGTGCAGTATCAGAAGTGTCCTCCAGACCGAGCATTTCGTCATCACGGAGGCTGTCACTGGTGGAAGAAGAGGATCCCCTCGACGATGGCAATCCGGCCGGAAGATTAGGACGGTCATATTCGGTATCTTCGACGTTTGATTTCGCTGCGAATTTGTTCCCTTTGAGTTCGACTACTGGGGCGGGAGGGTATGCGCCAGTTGGAGCGCCGACTTCTGGCGCGCGATCGGGCGGTGCGCTGGGAGGAGGATCGTTGGAGAAGCACAAGACGCTGACTTACCTGAACGGGCTGTCGCTCATCATTGGCCTCATCATTGGATCGGGAATATTTTCGTCACCAAGTCAAATCAGCTCCAAGGTCGGTTCACCCGGGGCGGCGATTGTAGTGTGGATTGTTGCCGGAATCCTGGCTTGGACCGGCGCGGCGTCATATGCTGAACTAGGAGGCGCAATACCGTTGAATGGCGGGTCGCAGGTCTATCTCTCCAAGACGTTTGGGGAGCTCGCTGGATTCTTGTTCACTTGGACGGCCGTGTTGGTGTTGAAGCCTGGAAGCGCTGCCATCATCGCTATCATCATGGGGGAGTACTTTGCGCGAGCAATCATCGGGGCCGACGCAGAAGATGTAAACCCGTGGGTGAGCAAGTCAGTGGCGTTGTTGGGAATTTGCACCGTTACGTGTTTCAACTGCATTTCTACGCGGATGGGTACGCGCATCAACGACATGCTTATGTTTTTAAAGTTTGTGGCATTGCTATTCGTTACAGTGGTTGGCATCATAGTTGCTGTGAAGGGATATACATTCAATGGAGAGAAGGATAATGCCTGGAAGCCACAGGACTGGTTCAAGGATACTTCATTCGACCTGTCAAACTGGGCTATCGCATTGTATGGCGGCCTGTGGGCGTATGACGGGTGGGACAACGTGAGTATATTTTGTTTCGCCGTGTTGGTGGCTTTTTATTTACTAACCGTCTTGCAGACGAACTATGTTGTTGGGGAGTTCCGAAATCCGAGCAGGGATCTTCCGCGGGTTATTCACTCAGCCATGCCGCTGGTCATTGTGAGCTACGTGCTTGCGAATGTAGCATACTTTCTTGTATTGCCCGTCGAGCAGGTCAATGGTTCTAATACCGTGGCGGTCATGTTCGGCTCCAAGGTATTTGGCTCCATCGGCGCCGTCATCATTGCTCTGATGGTCAGCGCAAGTTGCCTTGGCGCTCTCAACTCTTCCACCTTTACCGCAGGCCGACTTGTCTACGTTGCCGGCAAGGAGGGATACATCCCAAGCATATTTGGCAAAATCGGCGTGCACAGCCAGGACCCTAGCCTGACGACCCAACGAACACGAAATTGGTTCTCTAAGAAAATCCACCGCTTCGTTGGGGACGACGAGATGGGCCTCTTCTTTACGCCCATATACGCTTTAATCCTCAATGGCTTCATCACTGCTGGCTACTGCGTCGTCGGCGAATTCCCCACGCTCCTTACCTTTTACGGCGTTGCTGGATACACGTTCTACTTTTGCACTGTTCTTGGTCTCATCATCCTCCGCGTTAAAGAACCCCAACTGGAGCGCCCATACAAGACATGGATCACAACCCCAATCATATTCTGCTGCGTCAGTCTTTTCCTTCTCAGCAGAGCTGTCTTTGCGCGACCGGTCCAAACTGTCGCCGTGGTAGGCTTCGTTGTGGCGGGAATCCCTGTGTACTTTTGGCGTATCCGGGGTAGGGACAGGCTTCGGAAACCAGGCGACGATGGGGGGCATCGGCCATGGTGGCGTTTTTGGAAACATTGAAAAACTGAACAAGCATCAGCCGGCGCAGTGTTTTTTCTGAATACATTTCATTTGGGGTGGATGCGTACAATTGGAAGCAGGACACGTGAATTTTGTCTTTTCACCCCTCAGGATGGAGGAGCCTTTGTATTTTGGGTAATACTGAGAGGTACATTTATGACCCCAGCACAGGACAAGCTGCTAATGACGAGACGGGCGGTTGGCTTAGGCAGTCGGTGTATTGTGAAACCGTACATACGCAGATAACACAATACATAATGCATGAAGATGGATTTAAACGCCCATCTGCACCGTTCAGACCAGCTTGCATACGCGATGGTGGTGGTGATTGGCGGGTGGGTTGCCGCGGGCGGCTACAGATCGGCCCCCAGCAGGCCGTTGGCAAGGCCTCTGCGTTGGGCGGAGTTTTTCAACTTTTTTTCACGGCATGGGCACGTATGCGTCTTTGATGGCGCTGCTGTCTGGAATTACTTAAATGGCTTGCTGTGCGGCATTTCGTGTCGATCGGCTCGCGACGATGCCTGCGGACGTCGTGCTACATAAGGAACGAACCCTTGGCATGTACGTGTATCGCTGTGCCCTCTTGTATACCGCTGTGCTATCCGGACCTTGTTGTGTTTTTGCATAGAAACAAACTATGAATGGCCTCCCTGTTCTCTGGCTGCTCGCGGGCCGAGCTGCCGCGGCGGACGATGACCTGTCCGACTTCACCAACAACCTGGCGCAGGATCTCGGGCCGCTGCTGGCGCTGTTTGGCGAGGCCGTGACGAAGCAGTATCTCAGCGAGAGCACCACCTTCCTCGACTACTTCACCTTCGCCATGGGCCCGCTGGGCATCATCACGGCCGTGGTGTCGGTCATCCGGGTCTGCGGGCACCCGTCCCTCCGGGCCTTCATCGGGAGGTCGCAGGAGGGCGAGGCGGCCGTGGAGGCGGAGCTGTGCGCCTCGACGAGCCGCGACGTGTGCGAGCTGTTCCACAAGGGCGGCATCGCGCGCGTCCTCGGGAGGCAGCCCGATCTGCTGGAGCTGGTGGCCGTGTCGCCGCCCGCCGGCGGCCGGGGCAAGAGGCTCGAGATATTCCAGGACCACATCCGCAACGCGGACGAGACCATGTACTGGAAGCGCAGCCGGGGGTCCGTCTTCAGCCCCGACGACAAGTCGGGCCGTTGCCAGATGTCGCCGACGCCCAACCTGTCGCTCAACATTGGCATCAAGAGGCCCAAGCTGTGGGTGGTTTCGCTGGTCGCGCTCAACGGGCTCGTGCTGCAGGCCGGCATCATCGTCCTGGCTGGCTTCGGGGCGTGGCGGCTCGGCTGGAACAAGTACCACCCCGACAATGCCACGGCGCGCGACTACGCGCCGAGGATGTTCATCGCCGGGAGCCTGCTCCTGTCCCTGGGGATGTGGGGATGCGCCGCGCTCATCGGCCAGGCCACGCAGGAGGTGAGGTTCAGGCGCGACGAGCAGGCCTCCGGGCACAAGACGCGGCTCATCTGGCTCCAGCCAGGGCCGCAGCTTGTTGGCGAGCAGAGCTTCGACCCCAGCTCCTTCTTTGAAAGCGAGAAGCAGCCGCTTGAGTACTGGGTTTCGTCGCGGAAGCGAAAGGGGTCGGAGAGGCTGTTCGAGGTGCTGACCTTCTTGGCGGTGCTTGCGTCCGTGGTTGGGTATATACTTCAGTTTATTGGCCTGCGAGGCATGAATGCGTGGCTGTCGCTGGCGCAGCTGGGCGTCACGCTGTACATGAGCATGCTGCGAGGGGCGCTCCGGATACAAAGGCTCCAGAACCATGAGAACAAGTTGTCGAAAATCCCGGACCTGGTGGCCGGCCACGAACTCGACTGGCTGGCGTATGAGCTGGCCTTTGACGACTCCCCCATGCAAGCGACGGGGCAGCCGCAAAGGGGAGCCAACTGGCACATTGTGAGTGGGAAGATGCCGAGCGATGATAAGCCCATGACGGTTTGTAACGGTGGTTCTTTCGAGCTCAGTGGTGCCTCCGTGTCCAGTCGACGAAACTCCTGCGACAAGACGTCATTGCGGGAGTTCATCGGCTCTCAGGGGTGCAGCGACTTGTATTACGAGCTGTTCGACCTTCGCGTCCAGCTGTCTGGATTAACGGGGAACCAGGGCATGGCGAGTCTGGCAACAGGTTCTGGCGGTGGGAAGCCGTGGAAGTCCGACATGGTCGCCGTTCGCAAGTCCGCCATCAAGCTTGCTGAAGCGCTTGGCGAGATAGCAACTGCGCTTTTTTCCGGGGAGAATCGTGCAAAGAGGAGCGACTTGACGGTTCCTGTCGAGGCTCTTGCTCATACGGATTCTGAACCTTGTTGCTCCAGCACGCTGACGCAAGTCGTCGGCGTTGAGATGAAGGCCCCCGAACCAACTCAGCCAAAATGGAGAGTCAACGCGGCTCATATAGAAGCTATTCTTGGCCTTTGGACTTGGTCGCTGGTGTCTTCTCAGGACGTAGTCGGAGACAGTGAATCTCCAAACACATCTGCCAGCTCAAAGGACAGAGCGAGCGTCTCGCACCAAATTCTGGCAGCTGGCTTGGATAATGAATATTGGAACAGCGAGGTCGACATCGAGGTCGAGCTGAACTTTTGGTTCGGCCCAAATACACATCTCCTTTCCAGGGAAAGCCTCCGCCTAGGTAAGGGCATGAAATGTGACAACTTCACCACGCTGTGTCGCCAGTTAACTGGTTCCGGCGGCTGGGAGAAGCTGTCGAAATCGACGGAGTCGTCGTCCTCCCTGCTGAGCTGCAGCAAAACCCCCATCTTCCAGCTGCGGCTGTTCGGATGGAATATTCTATGCGAGTCCTTGGCAATCAGTGGCACGGATCCCGTTGGGGCCTCGGATGTTGTTAAATTGCAGAGTTCCCAAGAAGATAGCCACGTTTCTATTGGTGTTCAATACTTGCGGTCTGAGCGTAGTATCATTGATTTGTGCACCCAACAGCTCCTTATAACCCTGGTGAAGAACCTGATCAGTCTGGCGGCACTGCCGATTCCTGAATCCACCGTCTCGGAGAAGGAAGGGTTCATTCAGCTGCAGAATCCATTGGTCGCGACGTTCGAAAAGGCATTCGTCGACAGCGAAATCGGCTCCCGAACGGACGCAATCACCACCATTATCCCCCAACTGAGACGGCAAGTCCTCCCCAGCGACGAGAACCTGATATCGAGTCTCGTCCAGTCGGCAAACACATTCAGGCAAAAGGGGGAATGGGCTCGTGCGGCCGTATTGCTGAAATGGGGGTGTCGTCACATTTCGCCGGAGCACATGCGCAACCGCCATGCGGATCGAGCTCTGCAATGGCAGTTTTTCGAAAGGATCCTCAGGGTCGCGGCTGAGTTTTACCGCTACTCAGCTACCTTGAAGAGCGACAAAATGGGCATCTCGTACGCGCAGGACGGGCTGAGAGAAATGAGGGACATGTGCCACTTCATGCCTCCCTCATCCGAGGAGGACAGCGTCGAGCCGTGCCAGCAGAACATCACCTCCATGCTGGCTTGCTATGCCGACGTGTTCGACAAGTTGGCAGCAGAGACAAGCCGCCCCCGAAAAGCCAACGGCGTACACCCCTTTGTGCAGGCCATCGACGACGGCAACAGAGTCGACGCCCTCTACGAGCTGAGTTTCCTCCACAGCGGCGACTTTGGATCCAAGTCCCTCAAGCCCGCTCTGCCGCTTGCCATTCGCAACCAGTGGACCGAGGTAGTCGATGCGCTTTTCGAGATGAGGGTTCATCCTGACAGCGAAGACGAGGCCGGGAGAACCGCTGCTTCCCACTGCGCCGAGCTCGGGCACGTCTCTCTGCTGCGCGAGTTGGCGGCCCGGGGTGCCTTTTTGGATCAATCGGACAACATGGCTCGCACGCCGCTGCACTGGGCGGCGCTGAGCGGGCAAGACGAGATTGTGGGCGTGCTCTTGGAGACGGGTAACGTGGATATATCTCGACGGGATCAAGACGGCGTCGTGCCATTCTGGCACGCGATTGAGAAGAACCATCACAGCATCGTGCGTGCCCTTCTGGATCGAGGCTTCACCGTCGATGCACGGAGGGCGAAACTGGATCGGTCTCCGATATCTTGGACGTCGGAGCACGGGCAAGCTGAGATTGTGCAGCATTTGGTCCAGAGCGGCGCCGAAGTCAACAAGGCCGAAAAGGGATTACATGAGGGGTTTCATCCACTGCATCACGCTGTCAAAGGCAGTCACGAAGACGTCGTGCGTGTGTTGCTGGAGGCCGGGGCCGATCCCAACGTGCGCAGCGAAAATGGGCGTACGCCACTGCATTTGGCCGCCGCGGCAGGCAGTACAGCTATTGTACAAATCCTCCTTGGTTTGGTGCCCGATGTAGATGAAACGTGCAATTCCGGGAACACGGCATTACACTATGCCGCAAGTGAAGGACGTGTGCATCTGCTCAAGATGCTAATCGATGCTGGTGCGGATATTGAGCGTGGTGATGACCAGGACAGGCGGCCAATTCACGCGGCTACGAAGAGTAACTATTTTTGGTCGCACCCAGACGCTGTTCTTGAACTTCTCAAACTAGGAGCTGTCATCGACCCTGTTGACAAAATTGGACATACTCCTTTATGCTTTGCGGCCGACAATGGACAAGCTGGCATTATTGAGGAGCTGTTGAGCCGAGGCGCAAATGTGAACCATGCTGATAAGCACGGACAAACCCCTTTATATAATGCGGCCCAGAAGGAACGGTTTGCAATCGTGAAAAGACTGCTAGAAGCTGGAGCTGATGTACACTTCCAGGACAAGAATGGCAACACGGCTTTGATAGCTGCTACGGATTCGCTGTGGGGCGGATCCAAGTTGGTACAGCTGCTGCTCGAGCACGGTGCTGTAGATGTTCCAAGGAAAGACGGGGCAACAGCTCTCTCGATAGCTCGATCCAATCGTTTCTACAGCACTGAAGAAGTTTTGCTACAATCAGGCAACTACCTAAATAATAAAGGCTAAAATATATAATATATTCTAATATAATGTAATATATTTTAATATAATATAATATATTCTAGTATAATATAATATAAAATATAATAGCTTAGTATTTAATTTAGTTAAAGTTTTTACTTTTTACTATATTTTAATATAAAATAGAATTTATATACTATATATTAAAAGGTATATATTTATAAAGATAGTTATTTATCGTGGCTAAAATAGCACCCTGTAATTATATAGAGTAATATATCTTGTAATACGAACAGGAGACTGTAGTTCTCATAAACAGGATAGCAAGCTTATCAGCTAAAACGTCTTTGTTATTTATTTTTATTAAAACCTAGTCCTAGATATCCTTCATGTACATATTCTCCATCCACTCATCAGTCGTGAGGTATGAGAGCCGGGAATTCATAGCTTTCACATTATCACTTCAAGATGTTTTCTTGTCATTGCCGTAGGCTCTGGTAGCATAGCTGCCCTTGTGAACAATCAAGTCCTCGGGACGGTAGTCATGCTTGCCGCTCAAGTAGCTTTGAAGAATAGCCTTGGTACCCTCGGCATAGCGCTTCTGAGCATCAAGCGAAGTTCCAGACATGTGGGGGACCATGGCGTTGCCACCTCCAAACGGGTTCTTGGCGGTTCGCAGTGGGTGGTTCGGGGCGGCGGGCTGAGGGTACCACACATCACCGCCGTAACCGGCTAGGTGGCCAGACTCGAGGGCCGCGGCGACGTCTTTTGCCACAATAATACCGCCACGGGCAGTGTTGATGAGGTATGAGCCTATAATTGTTAGGTTAGCATACGTAGACGGCCTCAAGCAAAAATTTGGACGACTTGCCAGGTTTCATCAAGGCAATCTTGTCCTCATTAAACAGGTCTTCTGTCTCACTATGCAAAGGGCAGTTGATAGTAAGAACGTCACACCGTTTTAGCAAATCATCAAAGCTCACAAGGTCACAGCCGAGTTCTTCCTCCTTCTCAGTGCTCAGAGGCTGGTAGTCGTGGTAAAGGAGCTTGCAGTTAAACGGCTTGAGTCGTCGCAAAACGCGCTCGCCGATACGACCGACACCAAGGGTACCAACGACCTTGTTCTCCAGGTCATATTCCTGCTTGGCGACGGCCGCAACATCCCAGTCACCTCGCTCCACCTGCTCGTGGGCGGGGACAAAATTTCGAATCAATACCAAGATGGTCATAATAACGTGCTCAGCAACAGAGACGACATTACTGCCAGTGACTTCGGCGACCGTAATACCGCCGTTAGTCTTGTTGGCAAGGTCAAGGTCGACGTGGTCTGAGCCGATACCCGCAGTGATAGCGAGCTTCAGCTTCTTAGCCTTGGCAAGGCGATCTTTTTTCAGGTAGCCAGGGTGGAAACTGACCATTGTCAACAAAGTTGTCCTGACGAATGAAATTCTAGGAGACCTACGGCGTGGTAATGATAACTTCGGCATCTACAAGTTCCTGCTCGAACTTGGAATTGACACCCTCCTTGTCTGATGTGGTGACGAGAGTGTGGCCCTGGTCCTCGAGCCATTTCCTAAGGCCAAGTTCATTCTCAGTCGTACCAAGAAGTTCAGGAACCTAGCGATTGAGAGAAAACCAGATGCCGCGTTAGCGTTGCACTAGAAGGGATAGGTAAGTACCAGACGGCCACGACTCGACGATCCCAGCTCCGTGTTCCCCGCAGTTCCATACTACGTCCCCGCGTTTTGGGCTGAAAAGGGCCAAAACGGGAAACTCGGGACAGAAGGTGTGGAGTCTGGACCACTGCGACAATCGCGTGCGCCATCATTGAGCCGGCCAATTGCTTCACAACATGAAATGACGTCCCATTTCAGGCGCGAGAGTCAATGAATACACAAAAAGCAAAAGAAATCAACTTACATCCTTGGCGTGCTGGCCGCCGTCGTAGGTACAGAGGAGAACTTTGACCTTTTCACGCGCGGTTGTCAGCGCACGCATCGATGATGGCAGGAAGCGTGGCTTCGCAGAAGACAGAGGTGACGTAGACAGCTTGTTGGCGAAACCGGCAGCTCGAAGTGAAGCAGGACGAGCTGAGGCAGCGGAACAAGTTGAAAAGAGGGCAGCTCGGGAAGCGATAGGGAGAGAACGGGACAAGGGGCGTAAAGATACCATTTTTGATGTGTTTTGTGTACGATCTGTTTTCTTTGTGGTGTTTGAGACGCCCGACGTCAATCGATTCTGGGCTCGCTCGTGAATCCTAGAGAACAGAGTTTTGGGAGGGAGGGAGGAAAGTCAGAGGAGGTGGTGCGACAGCGCGAGGCCAGGTTGTTATACGTGTGGTAAGTGAGAATGGAAGCTCCTCGTTCGTCTTAAGCTCAGACTGGCTGGATTGAATACGTATCAGCAAGTGCAAGCAGAAATTCGTGTGTCATCGGTTTCCTCCAAGATGCCGAGATGGCGAGCGGCTGGTCCGTATTTATGTGAAGCTGAGCTGCCTCTGATACATATCGTCACCCCTTTCATGATTCCATCCCATGCAACCCGTTCCGCGCTTTGTTTAACCCCTCTCCGGCTTGCTTGTCGGCGTGATCATCTGCTTTAGTCGTATGTACGAAGGACATGTACAAGCTCTCCGATTGCTCCTCCCGATCGCCGCCCCGTCTGTCCGGTGATGTCTACTCCACAGTTGTCTGGAAGTGTCTCGCAGAGAGCTCGGCGTTGCGGTTTATATGACTTCATTGGTGACTTGAAGCTTTGCTGCGGGGTAATGGAACAACTCATTTGGCCTAGCGAGCATGGGGGACTGGTAACCACGGTAGCAAAAGCTCCCGTGGCTACGCGGCCGGCCGCTTTTGCTGCCCAGCTAGCCCAATGGATTCCGTGGTCGATGTCTGTTGCAAGATGAAGCGCTGGTGGTGGGAGGTATCTCGGGGTTCGGGATTTGATGGCTTGATGGATGGAACCATGATGGATGCATTTGACGGGTCACGGAGAAGATGTGAGGAGGAAGTTGCCCGCAAAGTGCATATAAGTGGGACTGTCAAGCTGGCATTGGCCCCAGCCTGTTTGAACTGAACGTGTGAGAAGCGGGGTCGATGAAGCTTCGGGATCAGGAAGGTACGACCACGACCCTCACGAGTCACCACACAACACTTGGCATGGCATGCTCAAAGCACCATGGGCCAGTCACTGGCGGTAAGGATATGGACCATGACTTCAATGTTGGTGACATGAGCAGTTCAACTGATGGCACTCGGCGTTGTCGCGGCTGAGCTCAACTCTGGCTTGAAGTTTTCTTGACAGGCTGTTTGCGGTTCCTTCATGGCTCTTCCTGTCACCACATGCAACGCCCTGTTTGGGCTGGTTGCTCCCTTGGATCTGGGCTGGAGCTAACAAAAGCCACTTGCCTTGGGGGGTCAATCGCCCGCTCCACTGCCCCTGATGACTGCTGGAGGCGCTGCAAAGAGGGTGAGAATACCCTGCACCATCGAGAGCCATCGACAGCCAACCCATTATGGACGGAATCCTTGTCTCTAATGGTTCCTGGAGAGAGGTGTTGAGTGCACTTTTACGTCGGACCAGGACCAGTCGAATTGGATCTTATCCGAAATGATGCCAAAATGAGGCCTTTCCCGGCACACTTTCGGAAACATCATTGGCTCTTGGGACTTGCGGACTTGGGGTTTGAAGATGGCCCGTTTGTTTGCTATGTGCAACAATAAATGGATATCAGGGCGCGAATTTGATGGCTGCTACTCCGTAGTCGACTGAGAACCCGAGTTTTGTCCAGCTTCGGAGCAAAGCTGTCTGGGGCAGGGGAGGACTGGCATCAAATGGGCGGGAACATACGTCGTCGCGTTGTCCCATTTCTAATCATATATACGAGGCTGCCATCATCGTCAGTATCAACGCCGAGAAAATTGCACTGCAAAAGGACCAACGTGGTGGTCTCTGGCCTTTACGCCGCACATCCCGTCAGCATCCATGAGCGCTTCCTGAGACACATCTCTCATTGACCTGCATGGGAGTGTGCCTCAGCAGCCTGGCTGCGAGCTTCCGATCCCATCGACACGTCGATCGGTGACTACGTATTGATCATCCGTCGTTTCTTCTTCCCCCCTGGGTGAAGTGACCCTGCTTTTTAGGGCTCGTATCCTTGCTTTCTTCCACGTGGCATTCTTATTTTGAGGACATCACGAAACTGGGTTTGCATTGATGCCCCCATCTCAGATATTAGAAGTCTACGCACGCAACTTGTTTATGAATTCGATCAAGATTGTGGCAGACATGTCGAAGGCAGAGGCTCAGAAGGCAGAGGCTCAGGCAGGACTCTGAGGATCGAGGATTCAGAATGATGGCTGAGAGCAACACAATCAACTGTCAAGCCCGTCTTCTTGAGTTAATTGGGCCCAAAGGGCGCGACTTTTCAACAGGCTGAATTGCATCGAAAAACCAAATATTCTCCGCAACAAATTCTCCTTGGGGAATTTTTGTGCGGCCCGCCCTACGCCCCAAAGGCCACTCTCACCATGTTGTCATGCTATACTTGCGACAAGATGGCTCGTTCATCTAACATGGCCATTATCAGCTGCTTTTGTCTGTTTCCCCAATCGTCTCGTTTGCCCCTCTTTGGGCGTTATCGACTCTCGCCGCCACCTCGCCGCTTGACTTTAGAACGGCATTAGACCGTTGGACTGCCCCCCTTTATGTCAGTTGACGGAGCTATCAGTCTGGACCCTCTTCAATTGATGCCCATATTTCCCCTGATAGGACCTCTCATTGGTTGCTAAGCCTGATCGAGAATCTCCTGCAGCCTTTAGACGCATATGCCAGTTTTTTGAGACGATGGACGCCCGTGACAGGTGGTTAGTGTCCGATGGTCGACGCCGAGTACTCGTGGCGTTGCTAACGACTTGACACATTCCCATGGTTTTGCTCGTTATTGTATGGGTATAACAGGGACATGGTATGCATGTAAGACTATTCGTCTTGTGCCTGAATCGATTAAAAAGATGCGGCCGAGCGCACGAGCTGTTACACAGATCGACCAAGCTCCAACAAGGGCCCGAGTGATGTACATTGCAAGTGGTAGCGGAAGCGGGCACGGCACGGATATCGTGATAAGCAAAATGGCAGCTCCTCTGATTCTGGCCAATTGCAATTTGTTACGAGCCATCGATAAACGGGATCCCGGCCTTGTCAATCCGCCGCCAGAAAGCCACCATGAGGGGTATCAAAGGCCAAATTCCCCGAGCGGTTGAGATGTGGCTTGCCGTCTTGCGCATCATCTGCCAAACCATAAGACTTTGGCTCCTCTCTGGATATCTGTGGAACAAGTTGCTGTTGGCTGCCATGACATGAAGCGGGGTCTTTCAAGTCGAGAACCAGGACGACGGGCAACGAAGATTTTCTACAAACTAGCAATGTCGCCATGATTTTTTGGTGCCATGTTGTCCCATTTCTTGGAAACCCTGGCTGCAGAGGAAACTACCGCTGTTATTTATGAAGATGGAGATCCATGCTGCCTGGCAGGGCTGATTCTGTAGTTGCTGCAACCTCTCACCTCCTTGCTATACACTGATAAGCACTATATATCTAACTGTAAAAAAGCATATATTTACGGGGTCTTGTTAAAACAGCGTTTTGCGCCCAACTTTACACTCATTTCCTTTGACCACTTTTTATTCATTTTGATTCAGGCATTCCCCGGCGGGCGTTTCTTTTCACCATGGAGTCTATTTGCACTGAGCATCAACCAAATCACTTCTTTATGGGGGCTGTCGAATACCCGTTCTGGGAGCAAGGGCAACCGTGGGAGGGATATATTGAGCCACGACAACCCGTATTTTCTGACCCGTTTGAAGGCGCTTCTCCTGAATCTTCCTTTGATGGAGCTATGGCCTGGACCGACACCTGTGAGCAGCTGTACTATATGCGAAGCTCAGTGTCACCTACGACACTCTCGCCTCTTGTGGCGGCACCCGAGTTAGTCAACCCGAAAGCAACTGAAACTATTCAGACTCAACCACCGGAAACCACAACTGTGGCCAAAAACCCAGGCACAAGCACAAAACGAAAGCGAAGACAACCTCAAAGCGTTGCAAAGTCAACTCATGCCGGCAGCTCAAGACTAAAACGGCCTTGTCTCTCCCGCTCAACTTCCTTCTCCTCGTCCACCGTCGACCCCCTTTCGCACAGTAAGGACGACAAGGCCAAGAATAAAGAGGACATGTACCTAGAGCGCAGCCGGGTCGCATCCAACAGGTTTCGAGAACGCAAGCGCAACGAAATCGCCCAGCTTGAGTCAGAAGAATACACCATAGAAGACGCAAACCGTCAGCTGCGTAGCATTCTTGACGCACTGACGAGTGAGATACTCTCCCTCAAGATGCAGCTGCTTCAGCACACAAACTGCAATTGCGAACTGATTCAAGCCTACATTAACAAGGAAGCACGTCATTTTGTCAAGAGTCTACAGGGAGTTGCCAAGGGGTAGAGAAGAGTTGGGGGTGACGACACTTGCGTTTTGTATTGTTCGTCCTTTTTTCCAGCACTCATAGCAGTTGACCAGCGCAACGGGGCGTACGATAAGAAGTGTACATTGATGTATTTTATCGACAATTGTAAGACTGAAGAAACAGAAACACACACACACACACACACAAAAGGAAGAAATATGGCCAGACTTGAAAGAATCACTAGTAAGGAGGTCACTAGGAAAACCCAGACTACCAGCCTCGCGGCGAGATAGCCTCACGGCAAAAGGGCGCAACGGGAGCAGAGGCGAGGACGGGCCATGGATTCGCCGTATATTCAACTAAAAAGCGAATTAATAGTCCTATCTGTATTTATGGTACAATTTACTAAAGCTGGTTCGATGCCATCATTTTATTTCAGCACTGTTCTCGTTCCTCCAACCCCTCCATGCTGGATATTATAAACGAGCTCTCATATGACTCGTTCCTCCCATGTGATTCATGCGGGTTGTGCCGTATTAAGACGCCACAGGTATTACATTATTAACGGCATCCATTATCGAGGCGGCTTCCCTGACTGCGTTTCGGGCAAGATGCATATCGGGCCCGTCGGCTCCATCAGAAAACCTACCCCCCTCCTCCCTCACGCGGCAACGTGCGGCATAGGATCGTGCCGGATCTCCTTCGATCCAGGCG